CTTCGCATACAGTAAACTTTCATGAAACTCCTAGTGGGAAGAAAGTCAAAATTGGATAGTAAACTATGTATTTCACTATCAAAGTTTGATAATGAGCTACTGTATTCTGTCACACCAACTGCAATGTTCACCTAAAATTTCCCCTTTTGGAATATTTATTGTACAAATTTCATTGTCAATGTGTCACTTAAGGTGCGTTAGCCAATTTTTTTGTTTTTTTTATTAAAAAAAAAACAAATTTTTATTTTTTCAATGATAAAATTTCAAAATATAAAATATATTTAGTAATTATTTATATTTAAAAATTTGTAAAAACAAAAACAAAAAATATATTTGGTATTATACCAAAAATCTACCACCCAACACCACCTAAACCCACCACTAACAACCACACAATCCTATGTCAAACCCCTGAAATCCCCCACCCCCACCCCTGAAGTCCACCACCCACCACCTCCAAACCCCCAAAATCCATCACCCCCCCTCGGACGGAAAACCCACCCCCAAATCTCACTAAAACAAAAATCGATTTTTGCGACGACTTTTTTCGTCGCTAAATTAAAAAAATCGTTGCCAAATGTTTTTTGTGACGTTTTATTTTCGTCACGTGTTTGTCGCAATAGCCTCGTCGCAGAAAATATTTTGCGACACAAATTTATTTTTATTGCAAAAAAAAATTTGTGAAGAAAAAAAACGTATAAAACAAAACGTAGCTAAAACCTATTCCCCCAGCATAAAAATATTAAAATAATAATTTAATTAATTTTTCACGATGTAAATAAATCGTCGCAAAGACTTTTTTTTAAATAGAAATGTTAAAAATATTAATTAAATTAATTTTTCGCGATGTTAATAAATCGTCGCAAATAAATTTTTACATAAATAAAAATGGGAAATATAATCGTAAAAAAAGCGACGTAAAAAAAGCGTTGCGAATAATTTTTACATAAATTAAAAATGTAAAAAATAATAATTTAATTAATTTTTTGCGATGTAAAAAAATTCGTCGCAAATATTATTTTAATAAAAAAATAAAAAAATAATTTAATTAATTTTTAGCCGCGTAAAAAACATCGTCGCAAATAATATTTTTAATTAAAAAAATGTAAAAAATAATTGAATAAATATATTTGCGACGTAAAAAAATCGTCGCAAAAAAGGTTGGTACTGCAATTTTCGCGACGATTTTTATTTCGTCGCAAAAAAGTTCTTTTTTTTTTGATTTTATATAAAAAAAAATTATTTTCCAATAAAATGTTTCACCTGTACACCAATAATACATGTGTTCAATAAAAACTAACATAATTAAGACATTTAACATCTTTTAAAAAAAAAAATTATTTCAAAAAAGAATGAATTACAAGAATCAAAGAACAAAAAGTCCTAAAAATAGAAAAAAATAGCTTTAATCCTTCAAGAGGATTTAAACCATCTCTAACTACATTTAATGTCTCTTAAACTTGAACAACTCCATGCATTGAAATATCATCTCCAAGCTCAACACTATCTAGGATCTACATAATCAAACTAACCATCACACACAACCTTCCTCCTTCGAGCAATAGGGATCCTGGACTGATCCTGATGCAAAACCAGCCACTGTGAGATGGCTACAATAAAAACAAGTCCCAATGATATGATAACTAGACTTTAAATATTATAAGTTAGAGTAGATGTAAGGTAATGCCTTACTCGCTCCAAGCCGCTGTAACAATGTTTAATACTCACATAGCTCATGTTAACGTTAAAGTTAGGCAATGAAATACATGCTTACCCAGAAAATCAAATTTGAGAGCCAAAAGTTTAGTTTCAATTGATCATATACAAGCCGGCTGTCAAAGAAATGATGCGTACAAACTGGTTCATTAATGGAGTGAACTTATTACTTTCATTGTTCTAGATCTTGGCATGTTTGTTTATCTGTGTCAGTTGAATTGATCCAACCTCTTGATTGGAAATTATGAAGTCGTTGTTTTATAAGGCAGTTATAAACTTCACTGCTCCACATGTCTGATATCACCCAGAGGTGACTGGCATTCCAGCCTAGAAGGACAATTTTGAGTCTAGGTGGACTCTAGCATGCTTAGTAAGTAACAGAGCCGAACAAATACAAATTGAAATTTGAAGAAAAACATGGAGTTGGGTGCATTGATGAACAAGATATTATCTTTTTGATCATATCAATGTCTTAGTTAAAACATTGAGGGAGAGAAAGAGAGATTCCGAGAAGTGGACTCGGGGCAGAACAGATGATGAAATTGTTAGCGTTGCATTAATTCTAAATCTAGGCTCAGTTCATATGCAACTGGAGAAAAATAATTTAGAAGAGTCAAACCTCTGAGCCGTGCTCTATATAGAATGCCTCTTGAGTTCACTTGAAATAATTGTGAGTAAAAGGAGATACTCAAAGTAAGAGTAAAACCCCGTATATATAGGCAAAATATAAAAATCATAGTAAGGGTAAAAAAGGGAAAAGAAATCCTAATAAACCTAGGAAAGAGAAATCCTAATAAACCTAGACTATCTATACTCCAACACTCCCCCTCAAGCTAGGCGCAAAAATGTCAACTAAGCCAAGCTTGACAACGGAGTCCCGAAGAATAGACAGAGTGACAGGTTTGGTAAAAACATCCGCAACTTGATCACTGGTCCCCACAAACGATGGAGTAACAAGACCACTGCTGACCTTCTCCCGAAGAAAGTGAACATCGATCTCTATATGCTTCGTTCTCTCATGTAGTACAGAGTCAGAAGCGAGCTGAATAGCAGATTAATTATCACAATATAATGTGGATGGAGAGGTCACTGAAAAACCCAACTCGTCAAGAATCGATCATCACATGCTCCCCCATAATCTGAATCTGAATAACAGGCTAGAGAACCGGTCTGAGATCCTGATGCATAAAACAACCCAAGTCCAGGACAAGACTTGAGGTACCGAAGAATATGATAAACTGCATCAAGATGAGGCTGACATGGCCTATGCATGAACTGACTAACTCGGCTAACTGCGAATGAAATGTCCGGCCTAGTATTGGCTAAGTAGATAAGTCTACCAACCAATCTTTGATAAACTGTCGGATCTTTCAACTCCTCACCTTCAGCAGTAAGCTTCAGGTTTGGAATCATACGTGATAATGCCGGTTTGCACCCCAACATCCCTGTGTCTGAAAGAAGATCCAAAACATACTTTCTCTGAGAAAGAACAATACCTCTGCTTCTACGGGCAACCTCAATCGTATGACTACATCACTGAAGCGAGAGAACCAGGCTCGTGGCGACTGTTTCAGTCCATAAATAGACTTACGCAGTCGACATACATTTCCAGACAGTCGACATACCTTTTCAGCATACTCCCCCTCACCACGAAAGCCCGGTGGTGCATCCATATAAATAATCTTGTCCAGATCACCGTGAAGAAATGCATTCTTCACATCTAATTGATGAAGAGGCCAAGAGTACTCCGCAGCCAGAGAAATAATTAACCGAACAGTAGTCAATTTTGCCACGGGGGCAAATGTAGCACCAAAATCACGACCTGGTACCTGAGTAAAGCCCTTCGCCACAAGTCTAGCCTTGTAACGATCAATAGTACCATCCACAAGAAACTTCAGGGTGTAAACCCAGCGACAGCCAACAGGCTTCACCCCTGAAGGTAAGGAGACAAGATCCCATGTATGATTACGCTGAAGAGCGTCCATCTCTGTCTGCATGGCAAGAACCCACTGGGGCTCCCGCATAGCTTCCGAAATAGAGCGAGGAACCAGCGTATCTGATAAGGCCATAGTATAAGCTCGAAATGTGGGAGACAGATTACCATAAGAAACATAAGCAGAGATCGGATATAAAATCTTTGCGGTCCAACCATATCGATCAACTGGACGGCGATCATGCTGCGAGAAGGTGGCTTAAGCTCTGGATGGAGCTTCCAGCAAGTAGCCCTGAGATGTCCTGATCGGCCACAATAATCACATTGACGGGAATCCCCCCGTCTGCGCTGATCTGGGGCGCCCTGACGGCGCTGGTCTGAGCGTTGCCTATCCCTGACTAAGGATCCTGAACGGTCATATCTCCCTGCCGAGCATATGAGAGCTCCTGAGAAAGCTCATAAACACGAACTCCCCGTCCTGACTGAGAATACATCTCTGATAATGCGCTTCATAGCTTCGGAACAGAGCTATGAAACTGGTGGATCTTGCAAACAGAGGGCTCCATTGAGCCAAATAACCATCCAAGAATGGCACAGTTTTCAGAGAACCATGCAGAATATCCAGGGTCGGCATCAGCTGCCTTTGGGTGAGATCCCGTCAGCCAACCAAGCTTCCCTACACGGCCTAAGAAAAGCTGGAATGAGCGTGACCACTCAGCGAAGTTACGATCATTCAACAATTGTGCCGTAACTTTTTGAGAGATCATGCCCGGTAATGCTGGTAATGCAACTGTGCTAGTAGGCATTGTATACTGGTCAAACATAAAAGTGGAAGTACTCATAGATGTCTCAACGGTAGAGGTGTCAACAGTAGGGTTCTCAAATCCCTCAGTAGTAGCCATATCAACAACAATACTGGGGCACCCGTGACAGAAAAATAACTCTAAGATAAATAGAGGAATAAAATAAGGGAGGACAATATACCTTCAGTCGAACAGTAGCGACAAATAGGGAAGGTCCAAAAAGTTCCCAAATAACTCTAAGATAAATAAAGGAATAAAATAAGGGAGAACAATATACCTTCAGTCGAACAGTAGCGACAAATAGGGAAGGTCCAAAAAGCTCCCAAATAATCAAGTCACGGTGCCCAGAAATCCAAAATATATAAATAAGTGATCTACTGCATCAAGGGCAGATCAACAGAAAAGAGGATTCGCTCCCTCCCAAAAAAGTCCTAGAATAAAATCACAACGAAAGTTGTGACCCAGTAGTGGGCTGGACAATGATCTAGCAGTAGGAGTGGTTTTATTGGGTTTATTGAGTTGGATCTATTATTATTATTATATGGAGAATGGGTAAAGGGCGCGGGACAGGATATATATGGCCAGTCGGTTGGACAGTGGGCTGGTTTAGCATATGGTTATGGGCTGGTTTGGCATATGGTTATGGACTGGTTGAACTGGTATGGATTGAGGTTGCTGCCTTTGTCGTGGATTAAGGTTGTGGTGGACTGGTATGGACTGGTTTGTCTGGGATGCGGCTAGGGGCTGGTATGGACTGGTATAAGGATAGGCAGTCAGTGTATGGACTGGTATGAGGATGGGCAGTCGGTGGAAGACTGTTTGTTGCCTGGGCCGTCGGTGTATGGATTTTGGGGCTGTCGGTGTGGCTTGGTATGGGCAGTAGGTGGACCGGTTTTGTCGCTGGTTTGGTCGGTTTCGCTGGGCAGCTGATGGCCAGGGTGGTTTCGGCGGTATGGCTGGTAGAGCCATACACTAACCCTACCCCAAACCCTAACCTTGCTCTGATACCAACTTGAAATAATTGTGAGTAAAATGAGATACTCAAATTAAGAGTAAAACCCCGTATATATAGGCAAAATATAAAAATCATAGTAAGGGTAAAAAAGGGAAAAGAAATTCTAAAAGGAAAAGAAATCCTAATAAACCTAGGAAAGAGAAATCCTAATAAACCTAGACTATCTATACTCCAACAAGTTCCGCTTGGCACTATGATGCAGCTATAACCAGCTGCCAAAAGGGAACTAAAATCTTTCCTTGTTGCAGGTGCAAGCCCCAACCATGTCCATATATGCCTCATGAATGCCTTGTAGAACACCTGATCACGTTTTCCAACTTGTTAACATAAAAGAGAAGAAATAGTGATTATGACTCCACAGTATGTACAAGGCATCAGATCTTACTGTGGTACTTGCGAGAAATTTAATTGTTGGGAGAGGCATGAAACCTGTATGGTCAGCAAGGCAAACAACACCAATTGGCCCAACTGAATGCGGCTCATAGCCAAAACTACATGAAGAACATTGGTAAGGTCATTACTGCAAGAAACTGGGAAAAGAACTAAAGTGATCAGGCTACTTGCATACTGGAAATTATGAGGCAATTATAAACTTCACTGCTCCACATGCCTGATATCACCCAGAGGTGACAGACATTCCAGCCTAGGACAATTCTGAGTCCAACTGGACTCTAGCATGCTTAGTGAGTAACAGAGCCGAACAAATACAAATTGAAATTTGAAGAAAAACATGGAATTGGGTGCATTGATGAACAAGATATTATCTTTTTGACCATATCGGTATCTTAGAAATGAGATAATGGATGTGGACTCAGTTCCAAAACCTTGCTTTGATCCATTAGGTGACTCAAAAAAAGGAGAATAAAAAACCCCAGAAGATGTATCAGCATCACTTCAATCACAGTGCACACCCCTCTACATGCATATTAGAAAGCTAATTCTCCAAAAAGCATAGCAATAAAGTTATGAGTTGCATAGTTATAGTCATCATGTGTACCTATAAACAGTAAAGGTGCTGCACAGGGAAACCACCTGAGGAGTGTCCACTTGCACCTCCAGCTTGATCTCCATCCAAAAGCTCATTTACACAATACTGATGCAAGTTTTCATACATTTTCTTCCACTGTTGAACCATCTGCATAGATCTTTTGCAATCAAGCTTTAGTCTTTGTCTGCATTTCAGCAGCCGCAGAAGAACCTTGTTGCTGAATGTAAGACCAGGAACAAATGTTAGACAAAGATTTCAGGTGCACTTTGTACTCCAATTCTAATTCCCACAAATTGAACAACAACTTCTTTGTAATGCAACTTCTGCATAAATCAATAGAATTCCATCCACACTATGGCCTTAATGTTCCACAGAAAGAGGAAAATTTTGTTCAATGCAGAAAGTCGCATCATATCAGGCAAAAGAAAACTACACAAAGCATATGTGTTGCCACCTTATCCGATTATGCAACAATCATCTCATCTTTTAAATGATGTAAATATATCTATTTGTTTACAGTAAATGTGCAAGTGCCACATAGAAATAGCTCAATCAATGTGTCTTGACAAGTATCACGAGTTTGTTTTTTAGTTCACGAGAAGGGATCTTGGAATATTTGACGACTTCTTTAGATGTATAACTCAGTTTAGGAAGATGCAATGATGCCAAAAGGAAATAACATTACCATACTATTAAAGATCTTATGACTATCACCACCCAATAATTTCATAGTAGGCAACAAAGCCCAGATGCAAGAAGAATAAGCAAGCAAAATTCCACAGTCAAAATCCAAGGCATCCCCTTGATGATGGTAGAGTCACTGGATCTCTAGGGAAAAACTACGTAATTTCCATATCAAATTATTCAGAAACTCATAACAATTAGATTTTTAGAAGAGTTGACAACCTATGTTCAGATAGTGAACCAATTAAAATTCGTCGTGAAAAAAATGTCATAAAAAATAATTTTTGTTGTAGTGTCTCCTGAAACCCCCAACCCCCTAAAAATCCACCACCCCCAAACCACCTAAAACGCATAACCCACCACCCCCGAAGTTAGATAGCTAGCCAGAGTCCTTTGACGAAGGGCAGAGCTTTCAGTTGAAATTTGAAAAGAAGAGAGAAGATAGAGGAGAGCTTCCTTCATTTTGGCTTTTTTATACGGTGAGGTAAAAAGAAAGATTTTTTTGTTATTAATGAGGTTCAAAGTGTAGACCTCATTCAATGACACCCTTTCTTCCGCCTATTCTTTTTTTGGATGTTTTTAAAAATTGACATTGTTTTTAAAACGGATCAACAAAAAAACAAAAAGAAAATATTTACCAAACATATTTTTATTTTCATTTGTCCCAAAAATTCAAAAATAAAAAACAAAAAAAAAATATAGAAACTTGCGGTTACCAAATGCAACCTCAATCACCAAACAATAAACTCCGCCTAATCAATTGTAAAATTTTATTGTTTTAATTATGACGGATTTAAATTTGGTCAGTGAAATACCATTTCCTTTCACACCAACCTCAGCGTCAAACTCAAATAAATTGTGCTTAATTAATAAAATTAATTAGATTTTAATAACTTAGTTACGACGTTTCATTTGAATTTAGAAACATCTATAAAAAAAACAGTGAACTAAAAATAGTAAACACAAATTAATGATGCACAAAATTGATTTGTGCAAGATCAACAACCAAGGATATTAACGGGTGTGATTAATGAGTAATTATTGAGCAATCAACGACAATCAATGAACAAAAACAATAAATAAGCAATCAACACAGAGATTTATAGTGGTTCGGTCCGGGTGACCTATGTCCACTCTCAAGAACGGCGACAACGGCCTGGGGTGTTTTATTAATGAACAGTGTCATCGAGAGGGTCACTCCGGTGTATTATAATACTTTGGAGAGAGAGAGAGAGCAATGTGTGTAGGAAGGTGTAGTGTGTGTAGAGATCGTAAGGTTATGAGAGCATATCAAGGTTGCAGGGCATGCCCTCTATGTGGAGAGGGCTTACATTATATAGGTGTGATGAGCTAGTGAAGTGTGATGAGCTAGTGAAGTGGTGACGTGAAGATGAAGACTTCTACTGTTTTAGTAAGTACAGCTATGATAAGAGATCTTTGTGTCTATCTCAATGTTTTATCCCTCGTACTCCTATTTATTTGGAGGAGGATCTTGAACTGGATTAAGCTCGTACTTGACTTGGGCTTGGACCCGAAATGATCTTGGATTTTTCTTTGGGTTTTCTCGGCTAATTTTATTGGGTCTAACCTAGTAAAATTCAGACTCATCATTTGTCCCTCATGTCCCGAACTTCTGACTTTTTCGAAAGGAAGAGATCACGGACATGTGCTTCGTCTTCATCGAAGTGAGTTAAAACGTTTCCCATATTTAGAATTTCGCTGTATTAATCGGCCTTCAGGATTCTGCAGTATAAATCAGTATCGATTTTCAGAATTCCGCTGTATTAATCGGTATCGGACAGAATTTTTGATTTTTTTTTCTCATGGCTTTTCCTGGGCGCCACCCTTTTTGACTTTTCTTTGATTTTTTTTTTTTCGCTTAGCTTTTTCTGGCGCCTCCTTTTTTGACTTTTCTTTGAATTTTTTTTTTCTTGGCTTTTTGTCTTTGCGCCTCCCTCTCCCTCTTTCTCTTTTTTTTTCTTTTTGTCTCGACTGTTGGGCGCCGCCCTCCCTTCCTTTCCTCTTTTTGTTTTTTTTTATTTTGTTTTGTCTGCTCTCCTGGACTGTGGCGTCGCCCTTAGCTTTCTCAGCCTGCACAAATATCAAACTGACTTCCACTTTTTTTTTTTTTCTTCTTGATCTGCACTGCCTTGTTGGACTGGGCTGCTTGGGCACCGCCTGCTCTCTCCCCCTTTCTCTCTGTGTTTTTGTTTTTGGTCTGGGCTGGTTGGGCGTCGCCCTCCTGGGGTTGGGCTCCTCTTCTCTTCTTTTTTTTTTTCTTCTTTTCCTTGGTTCCTTCTTGGGCGCTGGCACTTTGCTTCTTTTTTTTTTTTTTTTCTTTTCTCTTTCTGTCTTACTGACTTGCGGACCCGCTCCCCCTTTCCTCTTTTTTTTTGGTTTTGTCTTGTTCACTTTTTTTTTTGTTTGTTTTCCCTTGATGCAAAGTGAGAAGGGACTTTGGCGAGGAGTCCATGGGCGACGCCTTGGGTCTTGCACTAGGCGGTTGTGAAGGTGAGATGGGAGATTGGGCGAGATGGGAGGACTCATCCCCATGGGCGACACCAGCGCCTTGCTAGGCGGCGCCTTCCTTGCTGTGGACCCTTGTATGGCATCAAATGTAGGGGGAGACTTGGTGGGTGGCGCCAACTTGACAAGCGAGGTAGGAGCATTGCAGGCAGCTTTGGGTGACACCAAGAGGTTGGCACGGCGACGCCTTAAGTCTTGCTATGGGCGGCGCTTCTCTGGTGCTTAATCATTAACCCCTCTTCTCAAGAGGGTTAGGTTTGATGCCTCCAGTGCTTCTTGGTGAATGTTCGATGACTAGGTTATTCCTTGGGAGATAGGACCCAGTAATGCCCCTATTCCTTCTCTTACTGTGACTCCTGTGTGTACCAGAGTTAGCCCTTGTACTGCTGTAGGAGTTGAGACTTTGGTGCAGTTTCCCACAGGGGTTGTAGCTCCATATGGTCTGGTGTGCATACTTTGACTTGACTTCGGTCAAGGCGTTTCAAGAGCCTGCTTAGAGATGGCAAACACAGTGTTATTTTAAATATTAAAATATTAAATATGATTACATGGATGGAAAGGTAGACTGTCTGCGCGAAGCAAAGTAGGGACTACGAACGTCTCGTGAGAGAGCCGTAGGAATTAAGGCCGAGCTATGTATAGTCTCGAAGATAGCTGTCGTGGCAGAGGTGACTACTTGCGTTAAAGCAGAGTCATAGAGGCCGAGCTACGTATAGT